AATCTGTTTAGCATAAAAAATAAAATTCTCAAAAAAAAAAAAATCAATTTTTGTAAATATGAAATGAGATATCACTATTTTAAGTTTAGGGAATTTAAGAAATAAAACAGTTGTCGGGTAAATACAGTAACATTAATATTTAATGTACCGTTAGAAACTACCGGTGTATTGTATCGCAAGTGAAAAAACTTATGTATACTCACGTCCCTTAAACTTAAATGAATCATAGCTCGCTGAGAATTGAATAAAATAAAAAAATTTTTACATAAAAGTTTTTTTAAAACTAAATCTAATCTGATAATACAATAAATATAAATATATGTATATATATAAAAAATAGAGTTTCCATTTGAAAAGTGAAAGTTGATACTGATTTAAAACGTAAGGGATGCTCAAAAAATGTAATTTTACACACTGAGCAGCCCAAGATATAAACATAATATTTTATTAAGAAAAAAAAGATAACTATTATATTTTCATAGATAATTTGTGAAGCATAATTAATCAATCATTTTGTACATGTATACGCCAGAATAAAAAGCAATTGTAACTAAGTGACCAAAATAAGTTATTTTACTAGACAAATTTAATAAATGTTGGCCAATTGTAAAAAAAAATTTGTTAAATTAATTGACTTAAATAAAAAGTAAACACTTTTTTTTTTGCTTAAATAGGATAAATAATGTTTAAATCGACACCGTATAATCTTATGCTTAAGTTTTTTTCCGTGATCAATTAATACGCATATATATTTAAAATTCTATATCTTACATTTTCTCTAAGTATAACTTAAAAATTTCAAGTTTTGATTGCATACATTTATAAAAAAAAAATGAATTCGGATTTGTTTTTCGTGATAACGACATTGGTCATATATTTCATAATTCCGATTCAAGTAATTAGAGAAGTTATGTTTATTGCACTGGCAACTGTGTCACTGCAGACTTTTTTGGAGATGAAACTTTCTAAGAAGAAAAAGGCTTTAACTAAAAAAGTAGAAACTATTGTGAATACTTTCGGATTTCGACTACACACCCTATTAATTTGGAGTTACCTATTATTTCAAATAATTCAATTTTAAAAAAACCGCCTAGAGAAGATAGATTTACGCCAACTTCGATTATTGAAACTGAAAAAGAGCCCTCTAAAACTTCTATAGAGAAAATCACAATAATAGATAATTCATTGAACTTGGAAAATACATCGTCGAAAAATAATCTTTCGATCACACCGTCTAAAATATTGCCAGAAAATAATATTACAACACCTTACACGAACATTTCAATACTGAATAACAAAATTAAATCTGTTAAAAAATTGAACTCTGAAAATATTATACAAATTGAAAAAAAGCTCATCGTCACATCTACAGACACTTCCGTATTAGCTAATAATTCTTTTAACTTGAACATATCATAGTCTACAAACAATCTTTCAACTCAACTGTTTAAAACATTGCCTGGAAATATTAACACATCAACTCACGAAAACAACATTTTAATAAATAATTCTAACAACTTTAATAGAAAACCGTCAAAAAAATTAACAGAAATTATTCAAACATCTAACACAAACAGTTCGTTACTAACTAAAAAAACTGAACCTATTACATCAGAAACCCTGGAAAATACTAAAAAGAATAGAACTTTAGGATGTGAAAATACTAATAACTAAAAATAAAAAAATATTTGTGGGATAAGAGGTACTTATTGTTCTCTAAATTTGACGAAGGAATCATGATGGACAATGGTAATAAAATAATTATTTATACATAATTTAGTATTATTTTACTGTTTTGATGTGCTTAAAACCAAGTGACAAACTTAATGCTAAATCTAGACTAATATTGATTTGTCACTGATGAAAACATTGTTTTCAAAATACATACTTCTTCTTTTTGAATTTTTTTCGGAAGTGGGTTTCATTAAAAATAAACAGCATTATGAAAAAAAAATCTAGTATTTGAAGTTGAAATTTTTTTAAATTATAGGTTAGCCCCATTATTATAATATAATTTTAAGGGTGTCTTTTATTTTGTAATAATATACAAAATAATCTTTTAATAGTAATAAAATATGTCTAGGTATTATGAAATTTTTA